ATTACTGTATTGTTTTGGTGGTGTCATTTTTCTTGGGTTTTCATAGTTCTGGTTGATTTTTGGTCATCTGGTAGAGCAGTTGCTTCTTCTATTACTCTGTTATTAGCAGTTATTCTGGAGTAGGCTTTGATGAGAGAGACATCCTCTTCTTTTTCCAGTCTTCCCTGGTTACTCTCCTTGTGTCAGTGCAGTCAAGTGTATGGCAGGCCACCTGCATGGTTGCTGTGGCTGCTGCTGTGGCGTCAGGCTGCTTTTTTGGTAGCCATGGCTATGGTGGGGTACCTGCACAGAAATGGTGTTTTCTGCATGCTCTCTTTCCTGCTTTTGGGTGAGGGTTACTGCCCTCAGCTCCTTGCCTCAGACCCCAGGCATGCTGTCTTGTCTACTCCCCAGTGAAAGAGGCTGCAGTCCTTGTCTAGGACCCTGGGTGTGATCTGTTGCCTTGTTCTGGGTGGAGGAGGCTGCAGCCCTTGACTTCTTGCCTAGGCCCCCTAGGCATGTTCTCTTGTCTGGTTCCAGGCAGAGAGGGCTGCGGCCCTCAGCTCCTTGCCTAGGACCTTGATGTGCTCTCTTGCCTGCCTATTCTGCTGGTTTTGGATAAAGTAGTTTGTAGATGTCAATTATGTCCAGTTGATTGTTGGTGCTATTGAATTCAACTATGTCCTCACTGATTTTCTGCCTGGCTGGATCTGTTTATTTCTGATAGAGGGGTGTTGAAGTTTTGAACTTTGTAATAGTAGATTCATCTATTTCTTCTAGCCTCTATCAGTTTTTGCTTCATGTCTCTTGATGCTGTGTTGTTAGGCACAGACACATTAAAGAATGTTATGTCATCTTGGAGAATTGATCCTTTTACAATTATATAATGCCTTTCTTTATCCTTGCTAACTTTTCTTGTTCTGACATCTACTCTGCCTGAAATTAATATAGCTACTCCTGTTTTCTTTTGATTAGTGTTGGCATGGAATATTTTCCCCATCTATTTGCTTTTAATATATATGTGGCTTTTAAATGTAAAGTTTTCTTGTAGACAAAATATATCTCTTCCTCTTGGGTCTTGTTTTTTGATCTACTTGACAAGCTCTTTTAATTGATGCATTTAGCATGTTGACATTCAAAGTGATCATTGATATAGTTGGATTGCTACTTGCCATATTTACTACTATTTTCTATTTGTTGCCTTTGTTCTGTGTTCTTATTTTTGTCTTTCACTCTCTTGTTGTTGTTTTAATTGAGCACCTTTTGTTGTTTTAATTGAGCACTTTTTCTCCTTTCTTAGCATATCAGTTATACTCTTTTTTAACTTTTCTTAATCGTTGCCCTAGAGTTTGTAATACATATTTATAACTAATCCAAGTCTACTTTCACATAATACTACACTGCTTCACAGGTGGTGTGAGTACTTTATAATAACTAAATAGTCCTGATTTCTCCTTCCCATTCCTTGTATCATTGTTGCATTCATTTTACTTATATATATAACCATACATAAGCATATATATGGCGTATATATATATATATATATATAAACATGCATAATCAGATACATTGTTCCTATTATTATTTTAAACAAACTGTGTAATCTGTTAAATCAATGAAAAATAAGAAAAAATGAAAGGTTTTATTTTACCTTCACTTATTTCTTCTTTGATTCTCTTCCTTTCTTTATGAAGTTCCAGGTTTCTGACCTATATTATTTTCCTTCTCTCTAAGGAACTTCTTTTTACATTTCTTGCAAAGCAGGTACATTGGCAACAAATTCCCCCAGTTTTTGTTTGTCTGAAAAAGTCTTTATTTCTTCTTCACCTTTGAAGGACAATTTTGCAGGTTACAGAATTCTAGGTTAGTGGGGGTTTTGTCTCTCAACATTTCAAATATTTCACTCTACTCTCCTCTTCCTTGCACAGTTTCTGAGGAGAAATCAGCTATAATTCTTATCCTTTGTTCCTCTGTACATGAGGTGTTTTCTTATTCTGGCTTCCATCAGGATTTCTTTTTTTATCTTTGACTTTCTGTAGTTTGAAAATTATATGCTTGGATATCATTTTTTGGCATTTATGCTGCTTGGTGCTCTCTGAGTTTCCTGGATGTGTGGTTAGGTGTCTGGCATTAATTTAGGAAAAATCTCAGACATTATTGTTTCAGATTTCTTTGTTCATTTATCTCTTCTCTTTCTGGTATTCCCACTACACTTATTTACACCTTTTGTAGTTGTTCTACAATCCTTGAATATTCTGTTCTGCTTTTTTCAGTCTTTGTTCTCTTTGATTTTCAGTTTTGGAGATTTCTATTGATATATCCTCACTCTCAGAGATTCTTTCCTCGGCTGTGCTCTGTCTACTAATAAGCCTATGTATATACTTATATTTGGTGTCTAAATCCTATATTAAATTGCAAGTTCTGTGAGAGCAGAGTTTGTGTTTGTTTTATCTTTGATTTCCTTACAACTCCAAGTACAGTTCTACACATCAAATAGACATAAATTTTATTAAATAAATGTATTAATATATGAAATATGATATAATAGCCACAAAAAAAGGTGAAGTTGGGTACTAGATGAGTGAACATCTACTAGTACATTCTCAGTAAACTGCTTAACTGTATTTTTGTTAGAAATGTATTTATGTATGGTATTTGTGAGTTCCTTAGACTAGTGGTTTTTTAACCAACCCTATACAATCCTGTTAGAGTTCTTTAACTTAAATCTGGCTTGCTGACTACATTTATTAGCATATGTGGTGACTCATTCTAATTGTCATAGACAGTGGTAAATAAAGCCTTTCTTTTGGAGGACTAATGACACTGACTTTTCCTAACAACACTAAGATTGTGTAGAAGACCAGGCAAATGCCTATTTAGAAATGTAGTACTTTTAAAAATAGCCTTTTTTTTCTTCTCTCCAATTGATCTCTATATACCTATAATCTGGAGTAAAAAGCAGCCTAAAGAATTATGTCTATGTGATATTTTCTAGGAGTTTTTACACTTATTGTTTGGGCAGCAAGAATAATACAATATAATAAGCATTTTTCTTCAGTCATCTAAATAATTCTACTTCTGATTCAGATCAGCTTGTTTTCATTTTTCTCTAGTGAAAAGAACAATGCCTGTGTGTCTAAAAAACATTTGGTTTGGGCCGGCCCGGTGGCGCATGGGAGAGTGCGCTGCTTGGGAGCGCGGCGGCGCTCCCGCTGAAGGTTCGGATCCCATGTGGAGACCGGTTCCCGCTCACTGGCTGAGCGCGGTGCGGGCGCAGCACCAAGGGTTGCGATTCCGTTGCTGGTCCCCGGTACAGGCGCGACACTGAGGGTTGTGATTCCGTTACCGGTCAGTAAAAAAGACAAAAAGGAAAAAAAAAACATTTGGTTTGGCAAAGCACTGTGGCAATTCATACTGCTGTTCACCAGTATTTCCAATTCTCTTTCTGGGTACGTGACAGTATTGCACATCCCTTTCGTGTTGAAGTTAGGTGTCTTCAAGTCACTTTTTTTATCCAGTGAAATGAGACCAGAAGTGACATGGAACTTTAAGAGCTAGTGCATAGTTCTTCTACATTACCTTTATTTTGTTGCAGCAACTGTAAAGTAGAGAGATGGAGCCTCCCTTAGCTCAAGCCCCTGAGTAAGGACAGCATAGGGTGAGACCCCACCCCTTCACTTGACCTCTTGTGAACCTGTAACATGTTTTAGCCACTAGAATTTTGGGGTTATTAAATAAGCATAATCTAGCTTATCCTGTTGATATAGTCTTCTCAAAACAGTGGGCTTTGGTGATAACTAAAGGAGTATGTAAGATTTGATGTGCTGATATTGGCCCGATGTTTCTTTTTCTTCCTTATAGAAATGTTTATTGTACACAGCTTGTATAAGATGATATTCATCTCAGCATGATTACAGTCATTTTTCTATGTATTAAAATATTTTTCTTTGAATTACATCTTCTTCTGAAAACATTCTATTATGATTCTGTAAGATGTCCTTTTGTCTGACAACAATAGAATTTTAAGTTTCTTGAAAGTATTAACCATCATATTCATTCTTGTATTTATTCTTCAATAAACTTTTATTAAGTGTCCATTTTTTGCTAGGTGCAGGACTAGGAAAATGTTCACTAAACTCTAATTTGGTGGAAGTGACAGAAAGCAAGCAGGGGCCAAAGACGATAAAGTGCTTTGTTCTTTAAAATCTAGATAGTTAAATGATTTCATAAATGATCCATATTTCATCTTAAAGTAGTTAGCTATATTTAAAACTTAACTTTACAAATAGCATATCCAAGGTGATATAGACCAAATTTTAACTTTTGAGACCACCAACACATTACTTCTACTACTCGGTTAACTCTTTTTTGAAGGTTATTAAAATAAAGCTTTCTCAGTTCTCACTATCAGTATCTTTTACTTACTTGCACCAAGTACCTTCTCACTTCAGGGCCTTTACACATGCTGTTCTCTTTGCCTATTTTCCCTTAATTTGGGAAATCACTGGGTGCCATTTTTATTGAAAGTGCCGGCATTATCTTCATAGAAAGGAGTATATTTGTCTGTGTTATGCTGTTTTAAAAAAAAATCTGTTGGTGAAGTTAGAAGTTTCTGTACCATAGGTAGTATAAAAACTATTTAAAAAGTAAGAAATTGGGAGTTATCAAAAAGTTTAATTATACCAATTATCACAGAAGGAAAATTTTTCTCGTCACATTATCAGGTGATTTCAAGCAACTGTTATTTACAAAATTAAAAAAAAATTAAAAGCTGGACTCTGTTTCTTGTCTTTATCATAAAAATCTAACTGGCTTTTGCAAAGATAGTGCAGAAGGGTAAGGTTGCCTTCTGGTTTGTGATTTCAAGCAACTGTTATTTACAAAATTAAAAAAAAATTAAAAGCTGGACTCTGTTTCTGGTCTTTATCATAAAAATCTAACTGGCTTTTGCAAAGATAGTGCAGAAGGGTAAGGTTGCCTTCTGGTTTCCTCCCCCATCACCTTCTGCCTTTTCATTCTAGGGATTCTTCAGCAAGCGCCTGAAAGGCTCCATCAAGAGAACCAAAAGCCAGTCAAAGCTTGACAGAAACACAAGCTTTCGGCTTCCATCCCTTCGCAATACGGATGACAGGTAGGAAGTTAACTTCCTTAAAGCAGAGAAAGCAGTTTTAGGGTGGATTTTAATAAAGCATTTTGGTCTTCTCTAACTTTACATCAATGACAATTAGAAAGATCCAATACAAAATTTACTTTTTTGTCGTGCTCATATTGTGTCAAGGTACAAAATATTGGCTCAAATACCCAACCAGTTTAAGAATTTTATATTATTGGAGAGTTTTTGTATATGTAAGAACTAATTTGAGAATCATTTGTGCTGTTTATATAGAAGCAAGTTCTAGAGGTCAGAGGTACATTTTTTTGTGCATAAAATGACTGTAAGGGACAATGATGATATCTAACATTTTTTGAGCACTGTACACATTATCTTGCTTAATCTTTATAAAAACCCTATACAATAAATACTGTTATTATCCCCATTTTATAGATGAAGAATCTGAGTCACAGAGAGATTAAATAAACTTGTCAAAGGTCATACAGCTAGTAAATAGCAAAAATGGTATCTGAACTCCAGAAATGGTATTTTTCTCCAGAGGCCATGCTCTTCCTGAAATGCTGTTCTGTATGTACAACTATGGAATCAGTCCTATTGATTTGCAATCATATCTGTGAGACATGTTTGAAAAGGAAGTCTGGATTTCAATAATTAGGACTATCAGCTTGAGTAAACCTCAAATGTCTAGCTTACTTTGGATAACATCCTTTCAAAGTTGTTGAATATATGCTAAGACATGTTTTTAATACTTATGTCTCCATAATTTTAACAATTTTAAAAATAGTGCTTGTTAAACATTTTGAAAACAGGGCTTGTTGTATCAACACATCATTGCTGTCACTGTGCTTTCTACCTTCCAGGCACATTAAATATAGTCTCATGTAATACAGCAACCCTAGATACTATTATTATCTTCATTTTATAGATGGAGAAAGAGATTGAGAAACTTGTCTGGAGTCATACACTAGTAAATTCTACAATCTGGATTTGAACTCAGTTCTACCTCTCATATTTGATACTCTTATTTATACTTGGGGTTTTTTGTTTTGTTTGTTTTCAGTAAGTGACATTATTTTCAGTTATCTACCCAACAAACATAAATAAAAATTATAGATGTGCCAGGCTGAGAATTACTGTGCTTATTTTATAGATGAAAGAATTTGTCCCCTAAACTGAGTTGATAAGGGACTACTTGCTTTATCAGCTCTTCTTGTCTCTGAACCACATTAAAGGTGTTCTGTGAAATTTGCAAGTCTCTCCAACTGTGATGTAATTATATTGTTAATTATCTTTTCTACCTCTTTATTAAAACTGTTTTTTTCTTCTCATGTCTTTTTCTTATTTTCTTATTATTCTACAGCTTTTATCATTCCAGGAATTTAAAACATTTTACAAATAAGTCTTAATAGAATGACATTTTTTTTCAGATTATTGATTTTTTTAAATAAGAATGTTGTACAGTAATTAAAACACTCCCAATTTAATAGCCAATTTCTTAAACTCTATAGCATCATGTGGAAACTTGGGAGATAAAGAGATTTTTTTTTTGTATGTATACATTATTTTTTAACCTTGCACTAAATATTACCTTCTTAATTTCAAAGTACTCTCTCCTACTCCATTTTGTTTTAGGTAGCCCGTGGGAATTCTTGGATTGAATTGTGAAGAGATTATATTCTCCTATATTGCTATTATATAGTTACTGCATTTTTAGCTTTTCTGGTGACCTAAATTCATTATATGTGGCTTCCATACCATCATGTTTCAGTGAATAGCAGTATCATTCTATTATAAATACAGCACAATAAAAAAGGGCTAATAAATCTCAAATGTTAGATAGTCCTTTTTATTTTTC